AATGTTTTGTCTGCAGGGTCGCATGTGGGGAAGCCGGAGAGTGAAATCAAGAGAGAGAGAGAGAGAGTGTGTGTGTGTGTGTGAATGAGTGAGTGAGTGAGTGAGTGAGTGAGTGAGTGAGTGAGTGAGAAAGAGCGGGAGAGAGACAGAGAGACAAACAGAGAGACAGAGGGGCGGTGAGACCGGAGAGACGGAGAGACAGAGAGACGGAGAGACAGAGATGGGCAGCCAGGAGAGTGAGGGAGAGACAGAGAGGGACAGAGAAGCAAAGAGAGAGAGAGAGTTTTGGCTCAAGCCGTGAGTGGTCCAAGGACGTGGGGGCCTCTCCGCCCTTTCTTTCCTGATCTCTCTTCTACGGGGCCCCCCGATCCTCTAACCCGGGCGCCTGCTCCTGTCTCTCTGCGCCTTCCCTTCCTTCTTCGCGATTGCTGGGGATTGTGAAGGAATTGATTGCCCTGCTCCTGCACATCGCCTCGGCCCGTGAGATAGTTGTGCAACAAACCAGTACGGCATCTTTGTCCGGTTCTTTCTGCTGATTGTCAAACCTCTTCGGCTACGGCTTCGGCGACACATACTCGCCGTGCCCCACCCCGTGACGTTTCAGCGCAAGAACTACATGACAGACAGCCAGATGCAGGGGAGCATGGGACCCCCATCCGAATCTCCACAGAAGAAGCGAGCCATGCAGGATGAGGGTCTCAGCCTAGAGGCCATTCGAGATGTTGTCCGGGGCGAGATCCAGGGAGCAGTCACAGGCCTTTCAGACCGTGTCGCAGCAGTGGAGCGCAATCTCCAGCAGCATAATGACCGTACGTTTCAGGCAGTGGAGACCCTCTCCACAAACCAGGCCGACCAGGCCTTGCGCATTGCTGACATAGCGAATGACACTAAGTCCATGGCGGGGCGCATCAACTTTCTCGAGACCACCGTCAAGAACATCCAGGCTTCGGGGAGTACCCCGTCCACGGCTGATACAGGGCGAGTCCCGGCCCTTATCATGGGGGGATGGCCTCCAGAGACTCCAGCCAGCGAGGTCCTTCAGAAGGCTAATGAAATGGCGCGCGACCTTCAGCTACAGCTCAACATGACGGATGCTTTCGTGCCGGGAGTTAGAAGGGGATTCGTCTTGATCCCTACGACACCCAATGAGGGAGAGAGTGAGGAAGCAATGCGCCAGCGCATGCAGCTCTGCATACGGCGGGTAGCTGCCGCAAACATCACGCTGGGCCGAAAGCCAGACGGGAACATGGCCCGGCTATGGCTCACTATCAGTCAACCGCCTGAGCGAAGACGCAGGGCAGCCCTAGCCGGGAAGGTCAAACGCTTGATCATCGAAGCAGGGGGTGCTGCCACCTTGCCTCAAATTGAACCGGAGTGGGCAACCGGGACGGTATGGTTCCGTGACAATAAGGTGAGCTCCGGTTCATCGTCGTGCCCCGCGAATGCAGAGACGGCGGGTTGTGGCTGGATCGACCTCAAGGCCATCGCAAAGCTGCTCGGTGTCCCAATCGGACAGCTGGAGAAAACCTGGGAGCCCCTGATGGGAGCCCTCCGGTGACTAGACACCGAACTCACTGAAGAAGACGACAGGGGGGAAACCCCACAGTCTCACCCACCGCGAGCTGTTGGCAGGCCTCAAGACGAAGCTGCCGCCTTGCACTGTGCGACCTGGAACATCGGGGGGATGGGCCCGGAGAAAACTCTGGACTTTCTTTCCAGCTTTCGGGGCGCACCCGAACTGCAGGACCTTCAGATTGTGCTTCTCCAAGAGATCACAACAGTGGGAGGACCTAACTTTGACCAGAACGACACGTGGATGCTCGTACACGGCAAGCTGGCAAATGAGTGGAGAGGTTGCGCCATTGCATTTCTTAAGGTTTTAGGTACCCACGTGAATACCCGCCTTCATAAAGCCGCCATCACTATGACTTTGCGCAGTCCCGACAATCGCACCCTTGGCGTTGTCTCAGGACATGTTTCCCATAAGTTCACCATAGCCCAAACCGCTGCATGCCTTTCCGACTGGGACACTTCCCCCAGCTTAGCTCTTGACAGGATCCTGCTGGGAATGGATGCCAATGAAACCTTCCTGCAGCCCGGGGGCCACCTCGGTAAGAGCACCCTGTCCTGCACGGGTAGGGGAGAACAGATCCTCCAATGGTGCCTTGAACAAGGTCTCGTCCTACCAATTCAGCACGTAGAGCAGCCATCTTACTTTCCGTATAACACTTCTATGACACCCCGCCGCCTCGACTATCTTGCCACGCGGGGCATCCACACACTTCGAGCCTGGGTGGGGGAACACCGTGATAGAGCTAGCTCCGACCATGAGCCCATTCTGTGTTGCCTAAGAATTCCCCTTCCGCAACAACCGAAGCTCGGGGTCATTTGGTGTGCACGACAGCTCGCCTCCGGAGCGGAGGCCATTCTTGCCAGGCATGAGCCCCTGGAGGCGGATCCGCATAGTTCCATCGCCAGCGCAGCTAAGCTCATTACGGTGCCTGTGCACCGGTCCCTCAAATTCAGGGAAAGTAGCGCGCTCAAGCAGTTGCGACGAAAAGCCAAAGAACTTTCACCGGGGATTGAAGCCCGCAAAGCATGGAAGCTAGTGCATAAATCCCTCCAGCAGGAGCGCAAGCTGTGGCAGCGCCAACTGGCAGATAAGGCCGGAGAACATCACTGGGGTGCCCTCCGCTCCCTTAGGAAAAAGGACTCCAAAACAAATTGGGCGGACGCCCTGCTCGACGACCCAACTTGGTCGTCTCAGCTTGAAGCACACATGCGAAAAATCTTTTGCAAAGCTCCCCCGGAGACAACTAGGAGTGCAATGGCACTCCTGCATGCAGAAGCCTCGATCCTTTGCAAGCACACGCCCTGGCGCCCTTTCACCGAGGCTGAGATGCGGATCACCATGGCAGGGTGGAAAAACCACCGAGCCACAGGCCCTGACGGTGTTGCACTCGAGGCCTTGCGGCTCATGTTTGAGCATCCGCTATGGCGCCCCAGGATTGCAGAGCTCATTAATGACGGGCTTTATAGGGGTCGGCTACCCCCTCTGATTATGCAGGGTGCTTCAGTCCTTCTGCCTAAGTGCGTCCAGCCGCTCACCTGGTCCGACACCAGGCCAATCACACTCTCAAGCGCGCTGCTTAAATGGACGTCACAACTGCTCCTTCTTAGGGGAGTCCCCCTCTTGCAGCAGTGTTGCCACCACCAATGGGCCAGCAGAGGCAAACAGGGGGTAGAACTTATCCTTTCATTGCGGAAACTCGCGAGAGTCGCCCATGAGTGGAACACCCCCTTCTACATAGTCAAGATCGACATTGCTAAGGCTTTTGATTCCGTTGCGCAGGAAAAGTTGGGAGACCTCGTCATGCGCCGCATCGCCAAGCAGGGCGGCATGCCTTGGGAAGCGAAGCTCTGGTTTAGCCTCCTTGAAGCCCGAGAGCTCCAGTTCTATGTACATAAACACCGGGTGTGCATAGAACAATCCAACGGGGTGAGACAAGGCAGCCCCGACAGCCCAGTGTTGTTCGCAGCAGAGATAGGCGAGGTCCTCGATGCCACCCTAAACACAGTGAACCAGGGGTCGCCCCCTCACGTAGGCAGGCATCAGGCTCTCAGCCCACCTCCGCACTCCGGAGCCGCTTTCATGGATGATACGTACCTGTGGGGGGAATCGCCCTCCTACGTCCAGCAGATCCTCACCGAACTAGAACGCCGCCTGTTGGAGATTGGCCTTAAAATAAATGCAAAAAAGACCCAGGTCATTTCGAATCAGAAGAACGATCCAGTTCGATTCGAGATCGGAGGCCACTCCGTTAAGCCTGACGGCCCGGATGACATCATGGTCATCCTCGGTGCCCCCGTCTCCATGTCGGGGGAAATTTCCCCCATTGTAGCAGAGATGCAGGCCCGTGCGCGCAGAGCTTTCCACCAACACAAACATGTGTTATGCTCACGTGCACCTCTCCGTGACCGCCTGCTGCTGCACCAAAGCCTGGTCCGTGGTGCTGCACTATGGGGATGTGCCGCGTGGCCCATCAATAAAGCCCTCGTTCAGTCGGCCAATAGTGCACAGCTGCTCCAAGTCAGGACGATGACAACGGGGAAGCGCCCCGCCACTGAAGCCTGGCATCCCTGGCACGTCCGCACCATGCGCAGGGCGAGAGCCCTTCTCCATCAGCATAAAATCCTGCGTTGGTCTACCCACGCCCTCCAGATGCAATGGGGCTTGTGGGGACACATTGCCAGGGCACCTTTTCAGCCGACTTTCCATCTACTCCGGTGGCGAGATATGGCATGGTGGAGAGATGAGCAAGCGAAAATCCCGGGGACATACCCGCGAGGAGTCAGACATAAAGGGCATCGCAATCCTGATCGAGACCCTGAACGACACATCATTAGTGTAGCTGGTGCTCAATGGTGGATTAGTGCTTCCGACAGAAACACCTGGAACAGGCTGCAACAGGCCTTCCTCGACGCCTTCGACCCCCCCTGGGCAAGCGGATCCCAGTTAACCTTGCCAGGGGCGCCCAACCTCGTCCCTAACTCTTCTCGCAGAAGGGGGACTGTACCCCAGCACCCATCGATGGACCCAGACGCTGCAGCCATCACTGATGTCCCCCGCTGGGGTCCCAACCCTTGACACAGCGTCCGTCACTCTGCCTGCTCTGCCCCAGACCCTTGGTTCGTCTAGGTGGTTTTTTGGTTTAGTCCCGTTGCTCTACCTGCCTTGTCGTCCAGGATAACCCAAGCACTGTCCTCTCCCCACTAAGCCCACATAGTCCCAAGCCCCCGGCCCTTTCTGCACTGCACGCGGATGTGAAGCCTATTGCTCAGTGGATGCCATGCAAACGTAAGCAGTTCTGCCAGTTCCCATAAACCTTCCTCACCCTGCCCTGCCTTGCTCAGGTTATGCCCAGGTTATGTGCAACGTACCGACAGCCTCGGGCTACAGCAAAGAGCCTTTAGTTGCCCCAGCCCTGCCCCTCAGGAACAACATGAGCTCTGTGCCGAACCGAAGCCGATGCAGAAGCAGGAGCCAAAGCAGCGCTTTCCTCCTGGCCCTTAGCTTATGGGGGTCAGCCCTCCTCTGGCGTGGGTCAGCAGCTCCCGGGTCTCGCAATGATCCGATCTGGGTGGAATCCAGCAGCTCAGGTTCCGATAGCGACCTTGACTTGCCTCTGGCCCCACCTGAACCTGAACCTGACAACGCGCCAGAAATCGAGGAGATCGAGGAGAACGAGGACTTCGAGGAGAACGTGGATGATGTCGTGGAAGTAGTGGAACTACAAGTTCCAAGTCAGGGGGAGACCCCTCCTCTACCAAGACTCCCAGCTGCCCAGGACCCGGCACAGTTCCGTGCCAACATGCAAAGCAGTGCTAGAGAATCCACCTCGGCGAGTTCGTCCCGGCCAACGAGATCGGTGTCGGGCTCGCGCCCTCATGCGGCTCTACCTGGAGGACCAGACCCTGCACTACCCCCATATCGAAGCCTACAGCCTCCCGCTGACCTTCCCGGAGACCAAGTCCAACGAAGCCAGACAGGAGGCACGGGCCCGCTACCCTCCGGCTCGGCAGAGACGGCAACGCAACTCCCACAACTTCCGCGACCTGATGCTCCTGCATTTCTACCACCTGCCCGGGACGGAGGTGCGGTACACGATCCTGCAGTACCACTACAACATAACGCTGAAGCGTCCCAGACGGCAGCAGCGATGCCAGGCACGACCCGGACTATGCCTCCACCTCCTATACACCAAACCTACCGTATTGGCTACGCGCACTCGTACAATGCGGACACCGACCCATGGCACAACGACGGGGTCATTCATCGTGATGAACTCCAACCCTCCGGCTTTCCGGGAATGCCCACAGACTCCTGGACTATGCCCACACAACGAGCAGAACATCCTCCACTACCACAGCGTCAAGACCGTCAACCACAGGGGGAACAACCTCTACCTACAGGCGACCCAGCTAGCCGGGGCGTGCCCCCAGGGGCAGGCGATTTCTCACCGCCTACCATGGACCCGTGGGGGGAGCTTGCACGACGTTATGCCAGCCAGGGACCGCTACTTCCACCGTCGCAGTGGGGGAACAACCCCTTTGGCCTGGGTCAGCAAACCGTCGAACCCAGCCTAAGCAACGCTGAGACGACAGGGCCCGAAGACAACACCGAGGACACGATGCCGTCTGAACCCCGGGCAGGACCTGATGGATACAGTGGTGACTCCAGCTCGAGCTGCCCGGCAACCACACCAGCAACACAACAACCGACGAGCACCGCCTGCCTTGCCGATGAGACCGAGCCCATGAACAACCAACACCCCCCTTCCGGGGAAACCCCGCAGCCTTCCTCCCATACCCCAGCAGATGACGATGGCTCCGAGATAGAGTGGGAGAGCGACACAGACGATGAGCAGGCGGACAACGAGCACGACACACCTACCAACGATCCCGGGGGGAGCAAACCCCCGAGGAGGCAAGCGGGACATGGGTCGCAGCGTGTCAAGAACAAGGCCCGCAAATCTGACGTCAAGAAACTTTGGGAGGAGCGTGGATGGCCAGACAAACCAGCATGGTTGACGTGGAGAGGAGCTCTCAGCTGGCTAAAACGCGGAGAGATCCCGCCAGCAAAGGCCCCCCGCGCAACAGTTTCCGCTGCTGCTAGAGCTGAGCTCAGCATCCTCCTCAACTCCCACCACCACTACAGCTACGACAGTGCGGGCAACATCATCCCACAGCAGCCACAACCACAACAACAGCCTCAGGCCGCCGCTGCCAACACCTCGGCTGGGGGAGTCAATGCACCCCCTCTAAACACACTTGCCAGTAAGGAAGAGACACAAGCCAGAGCAGACCATGCTGCCCGCAGGCAGTCGAACCCATACAGGCTGCCTCCGAACGAACGACCCAGACCTCAACCTCCTCGAGCAGATGGTACGCAGCCTCAGGGCAGTGAGGGAAAACCTCAGCACCCAGAGCGTCGGATGTCAAAGCCATCGCCCCAGCAAGACCCACCCAGGACCGTGCCGACCTCTCAGGAACTGCGGGGCGACAAGCCACCTACAGCCCACAGATCGACGGCACAGCCCGAAGCACAGCAGGGAAACGATGGGGTCCCTTCGGACCGTGCCGCGCCAGTCCCTCGACAGCTGCAGCCCAACCGCAGCCAGCAGCGTCACAGGCAAGTCAGCTTCTCGTTGCCCAGAGGTCACCGCGAGCACCCACCGAAGCCAACGAGGACCCAGTTTGTGCCGCGGAAGCTGTCGAACAGCTCACAGCTACAACTCCGGGGGGATGGCGTTCTCTACTACCCCGTCGTCAAACTACCTCGGCCTCCAGTTCATGAACCAGTCCTTGCAGAAGTCGACCCAGGCGATCTCTTGTTTTACCAGCCTCCGCCGAGACCGGATGGCTCGCTGGCCCAGGAAGATGTCAGTGGCCTGGAACATCCGGAGGGCCTCTCCGACCTGGAAGCACACGCGGCCATTGCTGCTGCACAAGGGCGAGCCCCGCAATGGGCGGCCACGCGGAACACAGAACCAATGCGCAGCACAGTGCGGTCTGGCGCCAACACACAGGACCTATCATGGTTGGCGGGGGCGTCCCCGACAACGCTGCCTCCAGTCTTTCCACTACGGCAACGCAGCGTCTTGGTCCTACGAGGAGTTGCTACAGGAGCATGGCGTGGCACCGTTACCGACCTACGCCCATGGCAGATCGCCAAACACCCACGACGACACAGCCAAGAACCGACGCTCGTCATCTACAACACTCAGTCGGGGGCGGCCCCGGGGTCAAGATTTTTGCCCCATGGGCTTTGTCTCACCATGCTGCCCGTGGGGCCTTGGGTGGCTTCTACGAGAATAGAGCTGGGAGCAGTACTGACGCCAAAACTATGGCTGGTCATGGTCGACGCAGACGCTTCTTCCACAGCCAGCAGCTCGAGCTCAAGTGCCAATACTACAGGGGCCATCCCCCTCACAGCAGGAATGTCCTTCTGGTTGCAGTGGTCAGATGAAGGCCAGGAATGGAGACGCAGGCCACGCTTCGACAATGACATCGAGACCTTGGGAGGTTACTCCCATATCCCTATGCCAGAGCTGCCGCAGCCACCCCCACCTCCAGAAAGACATGAACCCACACTTGTTGGGCCCAGAAGCTCCAGCTCCCGACCGCAAGCAAAAGCCAAGAGCAAAGCCAAAACCAAAGCTCGACCAGCGCAACAACCAGTCACTACCGACACAATGTCGGCCTCCCAAGAACCACACGCACCACCAGAAGCCACACTTTCGCAACAACGACAGAATGCCCGGGAACAGGAAGGGGTCCAAGTTGCCCCTGCGGTGACTCCGGACGCCCAACCAACACATAGCCACACCACCCGGCAAGATGGGGTTGCGCTTTCGGAATCCGAAACCAGCTGGCCCAGTGAAGATCCACCGCCGCCACCTCCACTTCAACCTCCCGCCGACCACACAGTGCTCATGCAGACAAGCTCCCAAACCATGCAGCCGAGCGAGTCGAGAGTGAGCCATGATTGGGGCGACCTGGCCTCCCTCATGCAGCGAGGGGCGCCTCCAATGCCCCCAGCTCTCTCAGCCTCCACAACACCCGGTGGCCATTCTACCTGGACGTCACCTGCTTTGTCGGCCCAGATAGTCCAACTACAGCAAGAGATCGCACAGGGGGGCACATCCGTCCTCAAAGTACTTCAACTACTACGTGCTCTACTTGGTGACCTTCTGCAACAATCTCACCTACAACCACGAGAGGAGGTCACAGAGCTCGCGTACCAGGCCTGCTACTACCTTGACAAACTGCAGACTGTAGATGAACGGCGGCGCCATAACGCCGAGGCTGAAGGCGAAAGAGACGCAAGGGGTACCGGGGGACCCCCCGATGACGTTGCGGCAACACACATGGCCCCGACCGAGATCTACTTCGTCATGAACAACCCCCTCGTCGAGGCCGAGGCGACTCTAAGCCACCTGGTCCTACACCACAATGAACTCCCGGATCGGCACCTGCGTAAGGAACTCAGACGAATTGAAGCCCTACTACAAGAAGGCCAACACATGCTCCGCAGCTGGGGTCGAGCACCCCAGGCTCCAGGTACACAGCTCGGGGACTCGAGCCTCGGAACGGCATTACAATGCCTCACCTTCAGCCATCTGGCAGTCCGAGAAGGAGGAGTTGCAAGCATCACGGAGGCGCTCACCGACACCCTCCATGCCACGAGCCGTGCCAGTGGACAAATGGACATACTCCTGGAGTGGATCCAAACGAGATTTGGAGCAAATACAAGACCCCAAGAAGGTCCGGGGAGCCCTTCTCCAAAAAAACGCCGAACAGAAGAACAACCTTCGGGGAGCGCCCAGATTCCTCGTTTCCTACCAGGACAACACGATCCAGGCCTACCTGTACGTGATCCTGCTGCAAACCGTGACCGTCCCCATGCCCAACCACGTGCAGATGAACGAGACGAAGCAAGACACGCCGGGGACGTTGGCCCGTACAACATCCTCAGAGCACAACAACTTCTGGAGCGGGTCATCCCGTTCGTCGAGCACCAGAGCGCGGTCCTCATCCAACAGGCGCACAGCTTACTGTTCCAGTGGACAACGGCACTTTGGGGCGCGCCTATCGTCCTCGCAGCAAACGACAGCCCCACACAGGAGGACGTGACAGTGCAAGCCGGGGGGTTGCCCTCCTCTGCAGCAGAGTCTGAGGCCAGCACAGTGCTCCTTCCGACCCAAGACTTTCGACCAGGCGAGCTCTATGACACCGGAGGGGAAATCACCCCTGGCGCTGCTTCTCATCGCCGTCGTCGACTTCATGCGGCCATGGAAGATGAATGACCCTTGGACACCTCGAGTCCAAATGCCAACTAAGAGCCCTCCTGACAGCAGCCGAAATAATGAGGGGCCACGAGTTTCTTTCGTAGCCGCCTGAAGCAGGGGATGCCCTTTCTTTTCTGTTCAGGTTCCTTGGCTTCAGAAGGTTTACCGGGGGCGGGGTTCCTTTCTTGGTAGGGGGTTTTTGTTCGGGCGGCTTCTGGGGTTGACGACATAGTAGGGGGCAGACCCTAGTGCGACTGACATACAGATTGACAAGGGGCAGGGCAGCCACCGGCAACATGTTTTTCCTGTTGTCTGTTTGCCAGTGCCGGTCGAGTCGTTTGCCCTGTCATAGCTGCTGCCTTTTAGTGCCCTGGCCCATGGTCATCTGATGTAGAGTCCCAACAATATTGCCGACACATCATGACGCACAGCTCCCAAACCGGGGAATACCCCTAGTGCGTTCTGTTCAGGTTCCTTGTCTTTGGTAGGTTCCCGGGGTTTGGTCTTCAGGTTGCACTTTCGGCCCCATGCTCAACTGAACAGAATGAAGGAGCACTAGAGCGCATGATCGGCATACTTCAAAGGACAGACAGGGGACGCCCCTTCCTCTTTCGGCGATGTGCAGCCTTACTTTGCTATCATGTCCTCAATAGGGTTTCTTGTCGACAGCTCAGCCGAAAGGAACGGGAGGCATGCCCTCCCGGTGTCTGACACATGCCAACAATGTGCAATGCGGCGCACTGTGACGTCCTTTCTTACCGTTATTCCTATCTGATTGCGCATCTTTCTTTTGCAAGCCGCTTTTGCCTCTGTTTGCGTGCAGATCTCACCTCTCGCTCCCCACATGTCGGGGGCGCTAACGCGCGCGGGCGAGGGGGGCTTGCCCCTCTTGTCCCTAGCCCTGGCGAAAGAAAGAGGGAAAGAGAAAGACCAGGCAAAGAAGACGGATCAGGGCGCAAGGGAGCGGGGGGTTGGGTGGGGTGGGGTCTCATGCGGTGGGCTGGAGCGGGCTGGGGTGGGGTGGTGGGGTGGGGTCGGGTGGGCTGCTAACACTGCGAAGACTGTCGATGCTCAGTTTGTTCTACACTACACTCATGCTATCACCTGCACGGCTCGCAGGCAGCGTACTCACATCCCAAGATCCTCTTTCGGGGCGGGGGGGGACCCAGGCTCCCAAGATTTCTGGCTGATTGATGCGCCAACATAACCCCTGCAAAGCCGCCTATTTCTGCTGGATATCTCCTGGATACGAATAGTACTATGACTGCTACGACCTGCTGCTGCTGCTACTACTACTACTACTACTACTACCACCACTACGACTACGGCA